ATGAGTGTTCGGCCCATTCTCCTCCTCTGGTCAGACCATCCAGTGGCCTGCTCGCTCGGCTTCGATGGCCCAGGGACAAGTCACAAGTTGCACATGTGCACGGTATGGCTGCTAAGGTGCAGCAGCTGTGGCGTGCTAGATTCCCGACGGCTTTTAGAGCCTGAGCTGTCGGGCTGTCGGCCGGGCTTGCTCCGGCCTAGCTTCCCTGAGCCTCATCGCTTAGGTTCTCCTGCCTGCTTCAGGCTCGCCATCGGCTTGGGCTTTGCCCACAGCTAAGGACTGTTTCTTCTCTTCTTTGCCTTTGTTGGTTGGTTTTTCTGGCGAATGCGACTAAGAGCTTCGTCATGGCAAACAACACTACTCAATTGAATTATGAATGCGGTGTTTCTCAAGGCACTTGAGATGGAGGTTTCGTGCTCAGGTATGTACGGCTACCAGTTGCCACACCTTGCCTGGAGTTACCCAACCTTCCAAAACGTTAGCAACACCTGGACCGCAAAGGTAGGTAAAAACGAAAAGGCAATTATTCTACATACTTTCGGGGTTCAGGTAGTTAGGTCTCAGGATATCGTGATGCAAGGCCTGTAACATATGCATCGTAATGTCGTAATGTCGAGCTTCAAGTAAATACCACTTAGATATTGTTTTCTTGCTTGCTTGGAATTTTATAATCACTTGTGAGCTTCTCTATCCACTTACTGCCAAGCGACTTCAACGTGCGATTCACGACATTTGCTTGAGCTGCCTCTGTGGCCCACTGATCCAGTGAGCCTGCGTCAAGGCTTCAGGGCTCTAGCAGAGTGTAGCATGGGGGTTATGTAGGCAGACGCGTGTAGGCTCTTGCAACATTTTGTAGCATAATTACGCACATGTCTGTAACATGTGCAAGAGAACATGTTTTGCAGCGGGCTTGTAGCTGTTGCCGAGATACGGATAATGCATGTGCAGCCACTCGTCTGAAAGTTCTTTGTACTGGGACCCTTAGGTGACACACATTGATACTTGGCTTGACACTCCTGCGACCCGCTGTTACAGGTTCTCCGAAATTCTTTTCGCATGCCCGAATAAGCTCCAAGAAAAGGAGCCGTTCAATAGCTAGAAAATTCTTCCCATGCAGGGGTGTTCCAACAAGGGCGCCCCAAAAGGACTGTGATTTGGAGAAGGCTTCTCGCATATCCTATTGCTGAAATACAAACGTGGGGTCGCCCTTTATACCTCAAAACGCGCTGGTCCTTCGAAAAAACAAAGAGTGAATTCAAGCAACTCCATGTGACTAAAAATGTGGGCACCTCTTGTAGTCCTCTGGGACCAAAGACAAAATGAAGTGATTTTCATAGGCCTACGGAAAACGAGGATCTACCGGCTTGCTAGGCCATAGACCTCAGTAAGGAGTCTGTAGGTCAAGTTTTCCATAATCACTGTAGCTAGTCGGGGTTGCTGTTAAGAACTTAATTTAAGTTACCATAATAGGTATATATATATATATACGGTGATTAATATAGTTTCCCCAATCTAGCAACTTAAGCTAAGTTCCTTAACAGCAACCCAGTAGTGGGGCATCCGAGCAGTTGCATCTGGAGGGATTTGAGGCGGACTCTGACTGTGGAAAGCTGCTTGGACAGTGGGTTTAGGGTTTTGGTTTTCGTGGGCCATGCGCATGGAATTTGACAGGGCGCATTCTGTACACCCACACATTTTCCGAGCGGCTCGAAACATAAAAACATGGAAGCGGGTGGTTTTCATTGTTCTTGAGACCTTTCTTGTATGTGGGAGTATAGCAGAACAATCCCAGTAGATTCCCCAATAAGGAACCCCATAATCCTCTTATAGTCTCTAGGGTCCCTAGGGCCCTTATTTTGAGAATCTCCCATATCAAGAGCTTGATGGCCGTTGGGTCGCCAGAGTCCCACAGACGCGCGGGTGACTGCGTTCTTCCCGCCGTACGCCTTTAGCTGCTGTGACCCACCTAACATTCTCAAATACCCATACCTGGACCCCAAATTATGTAGGATTACGGACTTTTCGCATCTTGCTTGGGGGTATTGGGCAGTAAAAGCCCATGGATTCAGTAGCTTTGAGTTTTAAGCCCTAAACCCTAAACCGCCAGGATAGCAACCTGAAGGCAACCCTTCAGGTCCTCAGATCAATGTGCTGCGGGGAGATAGCGGCGGTGATTTCCTAAACTTCCTGGTTCTTAGTCGGTAATAAGTTGGGTTGGGCCCCCACCCACTGATAGTGGTATACTAGGCGGGTGAAGGCCCAACCTAAGTAATAAGGCAATATAGTGTATAGGGATTATGTAAGGATATGTAAGGATTATATTTCCGTATTTCCCACTCAGAACCAGTAAGCAACAAAAACTAAACCTCAGCTGAAGCTAGAAGTCTGAACCCGATGAAGGCCGTCATGGGGATCAAGTAGGAACATAGTGATCCCTCCGTAAACCCTAAACCCTAAACCCTAAATCCTAAACCCTAGATCCCTCAATTTTTTTCTAAAGGACTAAGGTTGAGGGTTCAGGGGTTCAAGCAAAATCCGAACCCCCAATCATGCCTAATCCCTGGACCTGCCACTCTCCATTCGAAGGTTTAGGGGGTATGGTCATCTAAGGTTCGCTTAGGGGCTTTGGGGTTCACTGCTTAAGGATAAGAATCCA